CCCCCCCCGGTCGAGCAAATAATTAAAAGAAAGAATTGGGGGAAAAGCGCGTCTTCCCTAGAGCGGCTCTCCCGCCCGGTCTCCTCTCTTTCCTTTTCAGCCTGACCTGCAGGTACGCCGGGAGGTCTCTGCGGACCTTTGCTTCCGCGGCCGCTCTCGCCGTAGCAGCCGGTCCGCAAGAAGCGGCTTCTCCCGTCCTGCCCGAAATTGCGATCCCCGCGAAAAATGGCTGCGATCCCGGCTCTCTCGCTGCGCCGGCGGCTCTGGCTCTCGCTCCTGCTTCACTTTTCTTTCGCGCTCTGGCTGAAGGGCAGCAGCTGTGCCGCCACCGCTCCGGAGGAAGCAGCGCTGATGCCCAGCTCTTCCTCCCTGCCGGAATCCGCCTTGCAGAAGCCCACCGTCTTCTTGGCCATCCTCGCCAGGAACGCTGCCCGCTCCCTGCCCCATTTCCTCGGCTGTGTGGAAAGGCTGCGGTACCCTAAGCACCGGATCGCCATCTGGTAAGGTCGCCAGAAGCGCCGCCGGAGAAGAGTCGGGTAGGGATTCAGTGGAGATCAGCGGCGGGCGGGGGGGAGGTTTGAAGACATCGCGTGGAGAATCTCTCTCTCCAAGTTATTTCCAGATAGTTGCTCAAAACGCGCAAGGGAGATTGGGCAATGGGCCAGGAGTTGATGCCGCGTGCGTGTCAGGTATGGTTGCGAAATGATCAGGGGAGAAAGAAAAGGCGATTCAGCCTGGTTACCTCTCTCTGAAGCCCCGCTAGCAGAAATCTGCAAATGAAGTTTTTAAGGGCAGGGAGTCACAATGAGTTGATAATGATCCCTGGGAGTACAGTGGAAGAATGCACAAGGGACCATCCGTGGTTTGAATGAAAATGTAAAGATACTTAATAGGGTAAGTGTAAATGAAGGGGGGAGTTAAGGCATGCTCAATGAAGTAAGCTGTAGGTCACAGAATCTATACCTTTTAATAAAATCAGCACTGTTAGTGCTGTTAGACTTCTGATTTTTTTTGCTAACGTGGCTGTCTCCCTACAACATCCACTAAATTTAGTAAGATGTTTAAATCAACATGTATAGAATTTGGGGGAGGACTATAATATGCCTGATTTAAGGAGACCAAATGGGAATATCTTTTCTACCTTTCTGCACTGACTGCAGAGAAGTGACCTCTTCTCTTCATCTCCACCTTCCCCCCACCCCAAGCACGGAGAAGAGAAGCACATTTCTTTAAGTCATGGCTTCCTGCCTTGGAAAAAAATTCCCCGAGAAAGGTATTTTTGAAGGCCGGAGGAGCTTCTGGGGGCTGCTGAAAAGCATTTTGGCAGGCTATGGGTAGAAGTTGCTGCTGAGTCCAACTAGTCAGGGATGATAATACAGGGAAAAATTCCAGCTCTCCCTCAGGGGAATACCTGGTTGGGTCCGCTCTTTAGCCAAAGTTTTATGCTTTCCCAGTTGCTGCTGTATAAAGAGCTTTCAATTATTGGTGTATATGCATATGCACTACAGAGAGAATCCTAGAAGCCTTTAAGTCTGCTACTTTGTCAGCCCCAAATATGGGTCTCTACGCTAATATGAAGGACACCTTCTTGGTGATGCAGTTTTAAGTCATGTGACTGATGCTTTGTTGGTCTGTGGCCAGATCAGACATTCCTGGGAGGATAGGTCAAGAGAAATCCTCAGCTGGAAACATTATGAACAATGGATTGAAGATGGATATTCTGCCTTTTATATGAGAGGATGTAATAACTCTTCTCATTTATTATACAATCCAACCACCCATCTTGGGTTACTGGAATAATCTTCCCTTCACTTCAGCGGTCCCAGATCTGTGGTTGAATAGAGCAGAATTCTTTCTAGCTGAGAGAAGAACCCCAGAACTCTTTAATTGCTCCCCTCCTTTCTGGGAGGCAAATTGATTTTTCCTTTTCTTTATTCCTATTCTTTATTCTTCCTTTCTGTGAATGGGAGGTGTGATCCTGAATCATGTGACTGGAGCCAGCATGCCACCCTAGAGCTCAGTGGTGCACCATTGTATTTGTATTTGCTAGGGAACATCATTCAAGTCAAAGTAGGCATCTCTTTTAGCATGCTACTTGCAGGTTTTGATGATTTAACCTATGGAGAGAGTTCCTGTGGTTAAGCACTCTTCACTTCAGCAGGGGTATACCTCAAGGAGGAAAAAAAAGTGACGAGCAATAAGTCAGATTTGGTTTTTTGTACTCAGTCCATATTGAAAATAAAAGTTTTCCAGTCTTGAAGGAAAGATCTTGGATCCTATAAAATGTAAAATTGCCAGCAGCTGGAGTTTTAATAGCCCTATTTAGTATTTTATCCTCTGAACGAAATAATTGCCGGAACTGGAGAACGCAAAAGATGAGTAGCGCTTAGTGGTGAAGGGAGCTGTGCGGTAAGTGTGGCACACAGGAGCAGGTTGTGAAGCTTTGCAGTCTGGATGTCAATAATTTGCCAGTTCCAACACTGATGGTTTAGTAAAGGACTGACTATCCCTTGCATGTAGCCATAACATTTAGCTCTCCAGGTGCAGTGCAAAGCATTTGTTCAGAAGGTCATTCCGAATCATTCGCCCTGTCAAGCAGATGGCTTCTCTCCTTTTGTATCTGAACCAATTACCATTTTTAACAGACTACAGTGCAAGTTCTTGTTGTTTCCTTAGCATATCAAGGTGGTTTCCAATCAGAAAAGAAAGTATGCTTTTTCCTTCTAAGTCAAGAGTAGTTTTGCACATGCACAGTTGAGAGAACTGCTCCTAACCACTGAGGTAGGTACAACAGTGTTTTGACTCAGTATAAAACACTTCCCCATGTTTTTGTGAGGGAACTGCTTTGCTAGCTTTTAGATAGCTTCAAATCATTTCTAAGCAAGGGCTTCAGTTAAGTATAACTTAATATGTGCTGGTTCAAGAAATATAACTACAGGTGATGACAACATAGGTGAAGCCTAGATTATTTTAGAGAGTAACTTCAGCAAACCACAAACCAGACAAGAGAGTCAGCAGCTGTTGGCCCTTGTACTAAACCCATTCCTTAAAATTAAACTTTCCCAGCCTGGCCTCCATTTAAATATGTGGATTTTGAATTCCCAGAATTGTCAACATGGCCATTGTTGGATGAGGAGTTCTGAGAGGAGGTCCACACATCTCTGCAGAAGTTAAGATGGGCTGGCTAATCAGCACTTACAGTACTAAAATTGGCTATCAGCTAGGGTATAGCACATGGCTTGCCCCTCCTTTGCAGAAGTCACTGATCAGAATTTTACTTTATTTTTTATATGATCAGGATTTTAGATATTCTATAATAGATGTGTCAGTTGGAAACATCACTTGTAGTTGACAAGGAAGGGAAATGATTATCTACTTTTTTTGTTAGAAAGGACACTGAATTCATATTTTCTCAGTTGAATATGACTGGTATGTGACCACAACAACTGATGCAGGTTAATAAAATCCAAACCAGGGGGACAAATTATATTTCTGAGTTTTCTGGTTTTTAAACATTTGTATGTATACTTGTTTTAAGATGGGAAGATGCTTAATAACCTTAATAAATGTTTGTATTGGAGATTTGGGAAGAAAGAACAAACTTTTTTAAAAAAGATTGTCTTGTCTCCAAATACATAATTGCATTCTTTTGCTAAAAGTATGAGCAACAGTTTAGGAATCTGAAAACTCTTCTTAAAGGGCCTGTGGGTATATCAGAAAATCACCAATGACATATTGTAATTATCCACTGACATCACTTCTGTTGCCATTAAGTTGCCTGTAGCAGTATTCTGTTCTGTACTCTTTAAATAAATATGGGTTAATTAATGGAATTTGAAACACCATGCTGAGAGACATCTCAGTAATTCTGAAAATTATCAAGGGGAAAAGATAAATTCCTTTCAAACTTAGGCTATTTGCACTATGCATGGTTGTAGTTGAAATATTATAATTGAAAGCAGAATTTAACTGAGTTACCTTGCATTTGTTTGCAGGCTTCCATATTAAATGGCCAACTTTTTAATGTTGAAACTAGTGGTTTGTGTAGAGATTTTGAAAGGTGTACTTGACAAGACTGCTATACCTGTGTACAGTCCGGTGGTAGACAAATTAAAAGGAGTAGTTTAACATGACCATACATAAAAACATTTTTTCCTGGGAGGAAAGGTTTAAATCATTCAGAATTTTTTTAACTTCAGAAATAAAAGTGATATGCAGTGCAACTTTGCGCATGTCTCCTTTATTTCCTAAGTTAAAACTGTAAGTAATTCCACTGTATTCAGTGGAGCTTCTATGTGTATAGAGTTACAGGCTGGTATGGTAGAGTGAAATACAATAGAGGAATTTGTAAGAATGATGTGAAGAAGTGGAGAAGAAGCATTTTTCTCTTGCTCTGTAGCCCTGTAACTTGTGTGCCCTACTGAAAAAGAATTTTAAGTCTTTCAGAACATTAGAGGCAGCTCAGAATACATGTGAAGTTGATTCACAGTTGAGAAAAGTATTTGGAGCATGTAGAATGATGACATATGGGCTTGCCACTTTTAAGAAATTGCTTCTATGTTTTAGTAAATTTAGTATTAAGGGCTATTCAGCGTAATAGCAAAGTGGAAGATCCACATTCAATCAGTTAATTACCAGTGTCTGCTAACTTGTTACGATTATCTCCCCTCCCATGGACAATAGTAGTAATTAGTAGGAGAAGAGGTACCATGTTAATCTGACTTCTCCCTTTTTATTACCCCAAACTGAAGCCTATAGCCAAACACAGACTTCTCAGGTGAGCTGCATGGATAAACTTCCAGCCTAGTATTTTGAATTGGAGCTAGAGTTTCCATCCTTTGGAATAATGTTTATGACATGATTAAAACAAAACAAAACTTAACTGTTTGCATTGAATGTCCTTTTTAATAGTACTCAAAGGTCAAATAAAAGCTAATTATATTCCATTTCCATCACTAAATATATGTCATTCTTTGATGACTTTTTTGTTGTAGTCACACATGGGCGCCAGTCCTCCTGGACTTTTTGACCTTTTCTAAGTCACATAAGTAGAATCCAGTGATCCATATTGCAATGTTATTTCAAGCTCCAGTAATCTTGTCCAAATTGCCTTCTTGTGGTTAAGCCAGGAAATCTTTGTGAAATTTTGCATTTTTTAAGGGTTTTTATATCCTCCAGATAGTTTAGTTTTTATTTTTTTTATGTAGGTAAGTATTTAATTACTTATTTATGGCCTAAGGTTCATGGCCCAAGTCCCAAAATTTAAAATACAGCACACCATTAATATATACATAAGTAACAGTACATAAATATATATAAGAGGAAGAAACCCTATAAAATTAGCAATTCATTGGAGGCATCAAATGGTTTCTATAAGCTAAAGCTTTAAATAAAAAATTTGCTACTGCCTTCAAAACACCCAGGAATTGGTCGTTTAATAAGAATATCTCAATCTCCTCCTCATGAACGGCATCTATCAGACTCAAGGTGGGGGCATGTA